AAATGTGTTTATTTTAAACCATAACACTATACAAGAAACTGTGCTTAACAAAGTACAAAACACTGTTGAGCAAAATAAAGTATAAGGTTCTAAAGTCTCCTGTCACTGGCTGAAGTTTCTCCTTCCTGATAAAAGAAGCTAGTTTCAGGAGAACTGTTTTCAATATGTAATATACTGACATTTTGGTTTTATGTATATAGAAAATAATAACCATATTTTTTTTATGATTGAAGATATATTTTAGAAAATGTTATCACAGTTCCTTATGTCTTTGCTCTACCCATGTATGAGCAGCAGACACCCCAATTTTGACAGTGAAATTTCTCGTCTTTAGTCTGATGTGTAACCGCTCATGTCATGGCATATTTTAAGCCAATGATAGTAAATAGAAGTAGTTGGTTATGGATTCGTTACAATGTAAAATGCATACTGTTGTTGTTTTTTATTTATTTGTATTTATTTATTTATTTTACAACTCTGAGATGTAGCAAAAAATATGCATGCCATTATCTAAGATCTCTAAATGCTGTTTTCCACACGACGCATCACATCGGTGAAGTCCTAATATCCAGTAGCACTGCACTGACGCGTCCTGTTACTCTGTGTTCTTGAGTGCAATATCTACATAAAACGGTTGAGTAAATTATTTTGCATCATTTGCTGAAAAAAAAAAAAATCTTCCAAAAGGGCAAATTTTTAACACATCCACATTTTATTCACCCGAGCTTCATAGCATAACAAACTGTAGTGAAATTGGTGGGAGCAGGTTTAAAAACCCGACCTGTTAGCATTGTTTGTCGTGCTCTCTTACAGCCACCTTTAGTATCTATGACAAAGATCTTGCATTATTATGCAAGATCTTTGCATGCTTGATTTTCGCTGCTGCACTGACAAGAAACACCTAAATCCATTTGCACTGTCTAGAGATGTATGTCGCTGTGTGTCTTTTCAGAGTGAGAGTGCCATTGTGAAGGAGAGGGAACTGTCCCTGGAGCTTGCCAGAATCCGTGATGAAGTGGGTAAGTGGGATACGGCGTTACAGTTATGGCACCACAGGGAGGAGAGAAAGCAGTGAGTCACTCATCGCT